GAAAGAAGAAATGGGACAGAACTTATTACACAACCTAATAAGAAGCATCTTCGTCAGCTGTCAAATAACCCCATGGGCAAGCTTGAGCCAGATTGGCGATCCAGAAAATTTGAGGCACAATCTGCCTGGGTTTCGCTTTTACTGAAATTAGTGTACATACTACTCGTGCTCTTCATCGTACTCCAAACCTTTCGAGATGAGCAGGAATGAAACCTAGGGACATTATCTAGGAATAAAAAACAAGAAAATGACAGATAAAGCCCCCAGCCCCATTTAAGCCAAAATCGTTCGCACTTATCGCGACGGGAGTCTTGACATGAGCCTGTTTCTCTTCAGTCTCTGAAGAAATGCCAAGGCAGGATTCTTCAATTTCTGTAGACTCCCTCTGACAAGTTTACATTTTCGGAAGGATGTGTGCACGCCGAATACAACACTCGCATTTGAGCTGTAAATGTTTGCTTAAAAAAGGGAGTGATAAAAGCGAAAACACTTTATCAGATGGGTCATTGAATTTAAAACTTATAAGTTGTGTAGACAATATGTTGAATCCAAAACTAGCAAAACTGTATATTTAAAGATTTCGACCGAACTGAAGCGTTAAAACTTTGAACCACATCAGCTGATCAACTTTCGAGTGCTACAAAGTAAAAGTGAAGAGAGGGAAAGCAAAACTTTGACTCGAGAAATCAAAATTGTCCGCAAAGACCTCATTTCTGAGATAATAACCCCGAAAATCAACGGAATCATCGCAAATTCAACAAAACATGCAAAAATCAAAATCTCATGCGTCATCAGCGACAAGAGAAACGTGCTGTGAAGTCGTGCCGGGACGCCGCTTCCTCGTCTGCTTCTCTCAATTCTGCAAACACTCTCGCATAGAATTTATCGCATTAGGCACTGCGCCAATTGTAACAATGCTTATAATTATTTTTGTTTTGTGTTTGTTATTCTATTAATCGGACATGTGGTACGCCGCTCTTCAATGCTTCTTCAAAAACTCGCTTAGCAAGCATTAATTGACAAAAAACATGTACTCTTCATCACAGAAATCTTTTCAGGTATTAGCCGCTTTTTATGTTTACCTTCAAGAGCAATCCATAAGTGCTCACAATGGATACTGAAGTTGTAAAGGCTTTCAACGCCGAGGTTAGTTCATGAAACTAGCTCATTTTCAGATATCTTCATATTCGCAGTTTATGCTAATTTTCCGTTGCGCACGATTGCAGCTCCTAGCTAATTGATGAGGCTTGATAAACGTAAAACTAGTCTTTCCAGCTCACTTCGGTCTATGAGTCAAAACCACCGCTAAGCAAAAAGAAGATCCAAGATATCTCCAAAGCAGCATTGAAAGCCAAAGGTTACTACAAACATGTTGTGTTCAGCGTCGAGAAGTTTCTTGCAAAGGTTAGTGCTTCTGGTTCCGTTGTTCTGCGTTAGTGTCAAAAACCAAGTTTGGATGAAGTGCATTAACTTTTTATATCGGCGCATTTAGGGCGGGGCATACTTCACGCGATTTCAGTCGAGACGCGATTTGGCAATTCGCCAGAAATCTTCAGATCCAAC